ACACGTCTACCACAGAGAAGGCAAAGCGCACATCCGTATGGAGACTCGGATTCCAGAGCTCACGTAAGCTTTATTCACGAAACTAGACACTAGAAACAACTCCGACGTCCAGGGTCAGGTGAAAGGACAGACTGCGATGCCCAAACAGCGGAAGCCCCGCTCGGCAGTGAGGAGGAGCGAGCTGCGGACACACGTCACTCTGAGCGAGAGAAGCCCGGAGCGCGCCCCGCGTGGTTCCACTGGTCTAACCAGAATCTAGAAAAGAAAACCTCATGCAGGGGCGGGGAGCTGGCCAGTGTTCGCCTTTGGACCGATGAAGCTGGGCGCAGGGAGACTTCCAGGCGTGATGGCTGACCTGCCGGCCGTGAGGACAGTCTCGCAGGAGCACACATACGGAGCCTTCCTCAACCGCTCTCTTCAAATACACGTAGTTTACCGTGTGCCAGTTTAACTTAATAAAGCGGTTTAAAAGGCAAAGCAAAGGGGCGCCTGCATGGCTCAGTGGATTAAAGCCTCTGCCCTCAGCTCAGGTCACGATCCCAGGGTCCTGGGATCGAGCCCCGCGTCGGGCTCTCTGCTCATCGAGGAGCCTGCTTCCTCCTCTCTCTCTGCCTGCCTCTCTGCCTACTTGTGATCTTTGTCAAATAAATAAATGAAACCTTTAAAAAAAAAAAAAGGGCAAAGCAAAGAAAGTAGCCTGTTAAGTGATTTCTCAGAGGGCAGACTGCTGGCTTCCTTCAGAGCTGTAACTTTCTCTAACTTGGGACTGCTTCTACATTTAACGTCAGAGTTTAGTTAAGCTAAACAGAGACATGGACTTTTACTTTATCTGAGATTTAGTAAAGGGCCATCAAGAAGATGCTGTTAAAGGGCTTGTAGCAGAAGCACCGAGCCGCCTCCCTGCCCCTGTGGATTTATACTTCCTTCCTTCTAAAATTCGATGAAGAATTTATATGTATATACCTGCTGAGTTGTTGGTTTTTTTCCCAAAAATTTTGTCCTTACAAGTTGCCTATATGTTAGGGGAAAAATACCACATCTTAATATACTTTCTTTTGTTCCCATGGAAAAAATATTAATGCACGTATTATATCTTCTTTCTGTCAGGGTTTTAACAGTAAAATTAAGTAGTCGCTTTAAACACAGAACAACATGGCTAAAGAAAGCCATCTAATATTTAAAATCCTCTAAGATCCCATATCCCATAAAGATCTGTCACATAACCAATCTCTTAGGAATTTCTTCCAGCCTTATTTGAAAAGATCCTAAGTTACTTCCTAAGATGAATGACTGTAGTGATAACGGATCAACGATACTGATGTCTCCTTCATATGACAGCAGGACGAAGCTGTAACTGACAGCAAGAGGAAGAGGGTTCTAGTTCTGCCACGAAGTACAGCTGTCAAAATCTGTGCAAACTGTTCCACCTCTCTGAATCTCATTTCCAAACCAGTGAAGGAACTGGAGAATCTCTAAGGACCCTTCAAACTTCAAGATTTTATTAATTTTGCAGACAGGCCAACAAAATGCCATATTTCATAAAATACACTGTGCAAAGCACACTAATGAGACTTTCAGCTACTGCTTCTAAGGGTGACTCATACACTCAAAATCCTATTTGTTTTGGTTATGTGGATGAGAATATGAACACACGTAAACTCAAGGAATCTGCTGATTCTATGATACAGTGTAATTCAGGAAAACACAGATGTGATGCCTTACAGCCCTGACCGCTGTGTATCGCGTCGAGCAAACGGAGCTGACTCTCCTCCGCAGCAGCGCGGCCCGACCGGCCAAGTGCAGAGATGAGGGCTCTCACTCGTATTTGTTTGTATCTAGATCTGACTGTGGAACTAGGAAAGCACCCTTTAAACTTCAGTGCTTACCTTCATTCATACTGAGAAAACCATGTTTAGAATGAGCCTTAACAGGAACACAGAGCAGAGCAAACAATCCCCGACCCCAGAACCTTTATCGCTCAACCTAAGGCCTGAAAGAACTGATCTACATTAACAAAAGCACATAAAGATTTTCTTAAAAGTAGCATTACAAATTGAATGCATGGCAAAGTTAATACCCAACTGCAAAACTTAAATTATAGTCCTTTCAAGAAAGATTAGGAGACTAATCATAATGAATAAATTTATAAAAGTATATGACTCAAAATCATAAAGCATTAATCATATGGAGTTCAAGACATGTTGGGTCATAAAGATACTCGCTTTCATACGTGATATAATTCACTTCGTGCTTTTTGTATGAAAACTTATCTTTCTATTTTATGAACTTTAGAAAATCTGGCCAAAACCAATGAATTAAAATTACTTCTCATTTATGGGTATTATAATTAATCCTTAGAAAAAATCAACTCCATAAAAAACCCAGAACACAATATGGAAAATTTAGGCTCACAAAGTCATCACATCACATATAAAGCTACTATTTCTTTTTTAAAGATTTTATTTATTTATTTGTCAGAGAGAGAGCGAGAGCAAGCGCATGCGGACAGAGTGGCAGGCAGAGACAGAGAGAGAAGCAGGCTCCCTGCCGAGCAAGGAGCCCGATGTGGGACTCGATCCCAGGACGCTGGGATCATGACCTGAGCCGAAGGCAGCCTCTTAACCAACTGAGCCACCCAGGCGTTCCTAAAGCTACTATTATTTGTGCCCAAATTAAGGGCAGTGCCCAAAACAAAGGAGAGATTACTGATTACCTAAGCCCAAAACAAAGGAGAGATTACTGATTACCTAAGCAAAACCCATTATACAGTGCCCAACACTCAGATACTGGTCCTCCACAGCAGAAATTCAACATATAGGTAAGATTACATCTGACTGCCTTCCCCCAACTGTGAGGGCATCTAGAATATCACTAAAGGCACAAGAGGTAATTGTGCTCAGCTACCTCCTTCTTGAGTCACTGATAAAGCAAAGACAACATTCAGCAGAAATTATAAGAAACTATTTTGTTTGTGGAAAGGCTCATACAAGGCTTTCAAACTGCTCAGTGCAGCTCTGTGAGGGGCAGGGCATGAGGAAGTGTTAATGAGGGGAGCAGCAGGCCCCGCCTGTGCTGTCCAACGCACATCTCCAGTCGGAAATTCAGAACCAGCTCCCTGTAGGGAATTAATTTTGATTCGAACGAGTAATAACGGAGCATCTGAGAAAAATTTAAACCTTGATACTGCTAATATTCATTAATGAATTACCAAGCAGCACTGTTAGACTATGTATAATTTAAAAAGCTTTTTTTTTCTGTTTAGGACACATTAATAATCATTATTATTATGTGCACTAAGGCTAGCTACAGTCAGTACAGTTGATGACAAATTAGACCCAAAGGAGCAGTAATTTAGAGACGATAAAAGGAGAAGAGGAAACACCGGCAGACTTTGGAGTAAGCAAGGAAATGCTCATCAGAACTCTAACGTGAAACAATAATTCCATGTAGTGTGGCAGGATCATTATACGACCATAAGCAATTTGTTACTCCACAAAGAGAAAACACTGAAAATGACAACAGAATATGGCTGATATTCAATCAGGTTATAAAAACGTCTCAGAATGTTTGAAAAGAAAAACCAAAAAACAAAAAAAGAAAAGAGATGACTCAGAACAACAATCCTGTAGTTTTAAACGACAAGTGGAAGAAACCATTCTTTCTTATTCAAGATCATACCTGCTAATACAACTATGTACCACAACCCTCCAGGTCTTCTGGAAAAGTACGCTATACATTCATACTGCTTCTGAGAGTGAGAGACAAATTCCTTTCTGGGAACTGGGCTGCGTTATAATATTTACTTTACACGAAATCCCATCTTACCGTGACCCTGGTGCCGGTGCCCGGAGGCCCACTGCACGGAGGTCAGAGGCCCGGCTCAAGCCCCTTAACTCGCGTGTCAGCCTCGGTGTCTCCATAGTCACCTACCACCTGCCCTGCTTAGTTATGAAGTCTGAATGCAGTCATGTAAATAAAATTCACTTTGGAAACTCTACGATGCCAAATGAAGGTAGAGTATTAGTAGTGGTGCGCTACTAACGACAGCGGCGCCGCCGTTGCTACCAATCACCGCCTGAGAAGCAAGCTAAGTCTTCGTAGCACTCTTGCCTGCGCGTACAATTTGAACATGCGTTCAACAGAATCTTTACCATCCTAACAATTAGTTCTAGCTCACTCTTCCTGAGCGCCAACTACGTGCTGGGCACCGAGCCCTCTGCATACATGATCTCATTTAATCTTCACAGGAGCTTTATGAAGTGGGAGCCACTCACTCACCAGCTTTCTCACTTTCAGCAGAAGATCCTTGAGGCTTGGACAAATGAAGTAACTGGCCCCAAATTCAACCGGGCGGGCGGAAGCGGCTCATACGCACACGCCCCTCTTTCACTGCACAGCCCGGGACCAGGGCGAGCACAGGGTGAAGAGGCTCCCAGAGCAGCCTCCGCTGTGTCCTTTCTCCAGCAAACCCCAGGGACGCCTCTGTTACTGGGGGAACTACGTGTGTTTCCAATACCCGCTACTAACAAGTAAAGTTTTAACTTAGAAAATAAAAAAGAAGAAAAGAAAAAAATCTTCTACCTATCAATTAGCAAAGAGGGCATACAGAAAGAATATATACCTCTTTTTGTTATACAGTCGGGCAAACAGAAATTGGAAGTTTCAAAAAAATGCAGTATCTTTGGGCTGTTCTTATTCAAATCGGATCACCTTTATCAGTTTCGTCCTTGTTTGGTGGAAAGCAAACCAAAGGAAAAGTAAAAAGCATTGTTCAGAAAGTGAACACAACATTCTTTAGGCATTTTAGATGAAATGCCAATGAAATACGGAGGTGAAACCAGTGATAAATGCAGAAATACACAGGGATAAAAAGAAAATTCAAAGATTCAAAGCCAGAGTTAGATTCTTTGTTTTTAACTATCAATTAAAAGTCATCTTCATCATAAAGAGTGTGGTGCTGCCATAAAATGTACCACCACCCCCAAATAAAATAAACTTACCTTTGGTTTTTTGATCAGCAGCCTGAAAAAAAAAATCAGAAACTCTTTTTAGGAATAATAATGTGTAGAATGTGCACATCTATGAAATTTTATAAGCAGAATTTAATACTGGAAATTTTCAAAACAAGTTTTTGCCCAATTTATTAAAATTTATTACTGGGAAAACACATAGTCCACATGCTATTACCTGCAAATACTGACCTAAAGGCAAACATAACCCTATCTGGTAGCTCATCAGAACTCTGTATTTTAACACAGGCCAAAAGGTATGGTTTAAATTAAAAGGTACATCTAAACTAGGCAAGACCAACAACAAACAGCCTAACTCGGAATAGTAAATGTAGTAAGATTCAAATGAGATGATAAGATTTACAGAAAGCCTTTTAATTTTTAACATTTACTGATAGGATTTGTAAGAGAACATTTGCCAAACCTGCAAAAATTATTTCTAGCTTTCCTAATAAAATCAGTTACACGGCCCTTTTCATTTCGTTTCTCAAGACATGGTTGTTCTGGACAGTTCACAGTAAGGGGAATAGTATGAACATTCTTTACCACCAATAACGAAAATCAGACCTCCTTAAAACTCAGCTCTACTATTTCTAGGTTCCTTAAGAAAGACATTCTGTGGCTGTCACTCTGTATTTATTTCACTAGGACATCTATCTTTTGCTAATTATGGATTTAACATATTGATTTTCTGAGGTCGTAAAACGCAACTCTACCATGACGCCTGCGACAACGCGGATGATACACACAGCGATCACAGACAGTGAAGGAGGAACGCCAGCCACACCTTTTTCTGAGCACCTTCCTTCTTTTTCTTTTCTTCCTGCTTTTTCTTTTTCTTTTCTTCCATCAAACGTTCCTCTTTTTGTGTTTCTTGTTCTTTCTCCCTATAAAACAAAGAAAGGTGGCATTGGTATGATGTCCATTTTAGATCAAACAACAACAAAACATTAGCTGCAGGGAGTTTTAGGTCAGGCTGAGCTTCGTAGACAGAAGGTGGAAAGGCACTCTGAGAAGGAGCGGGAAACAGGAGGCCCCTCTCTGGGCCACCCACTTCTCAGGGGCCCCCGACCGTGTTTGTGCTTCCAGAGTCTTTCGTTCCGCCCAGGTGCCGAACACCATGCTTCTAGCCGGGAGCGCATCAGGCAGTAACGGTACAAAACGGAGTAAGACACTGTCCCTACGGTCCAGCCCCAGACCCACAGCTCTCATTGTCATCTCAGAAGCCACATCCTCAGCATCCTCCAGACTACCTATCAAAAATGCAGATTACTGGGTTCCATCCTAGCCCAACCACATCAGAATCTTTGGAAGTGATTCTCAAGCATACTGTAATTTATACATTTGCTTGAAAAAACAAAATTTTTTCTTAGATTTTCCCCCAAGTTTTAATCTAAATTCCAGTTAGTTAACACATAGTATATTAATTTTAGGTGTAGGATTTAGTGGTTCAGCACTTACATACAAAACCTGGTGCTCATCATAGCCAGTGCCCTCTTTTAATCCCCAACACACATTTAACCCACCCCCTACCACCTCCCCTCCAGCAACCCTCAGTTTGTTCTCTATAGTCTAGTCTGTTTCTTGGTTTGTCTCTCCTCCTGCCCACCCATGTTCATCTGTTTCTTAAATTCCACATGAATGAAATCATAAGGGATTTTTCTTTTTCTGACTTATTTCGCTCAGCATAATACTCTCTAGCTCCATCCACGTCGTGGCAAATGGCAAGATTTCATCCTTTTTTGATGGGTAATATTCCATTGTGTGTTTCGTGTGTGTGTGTGCGTGTGTGCATATCACAACTTCTTTATTCATTCATCAATCGATGGGCACTTGGGCTCTTCCCATAGTTCGGCGATGGCTAATAATGCTGCTGTGAACATCAGGGTTCATGTAACCCTGCAAATTGGTATTTGAGTCATTACCTAGTAGTGCAACTGCTGGATGGCAGTTCCTTTTAGGGGAACCCCCACACTGTCTTCCAGAGTGGACACACCAGTTTGCATTCCCACCAACAGTGGGAACGGGCATCCTTGCCAAGAGAAAGCAATTATTTTTTAAATAAGATTCCTACATGGCGGGGCGCCTGGGTGGCTCAGTGGGTTAAAGCCTCTGCCTTCGGCCCAGGTCATGATCCCAGGGTCCTGGGATCAAGCCCCACATCGGGCTGTCTGCTCTGCAGGGAGCCTGCTTCCTTTTCTCTCTCTCTCTGCCTGCCTCTCTGCCTACTTGTGATCTCTGTCAAATAAATAAATAAAATCTTAAAAAAAATAATAAAAATAAAAAAATAAAAAAGATTCCTACATGGCATTTTTTGAAAGAGCAATTTTTCTTCAAGTAGGCTCCATGGCCAGTGTGGAGTCCAACACAGGGCTCGAACTCATGCCTGAGATCAAGAATTGAGCTGAGATCAAGAGTGCGACACTTAAAGGACTGAGCCACCCAGGTGTCCCAAAGAGCAATTGATTTTATTTTTTTTTTAGAGAAAGAGAGAGCTTTGGGGTGGGGGGAGGGGGAAAGAGAGAATCTTAAGCAGAATTCACACTCAGGGTGTAGCCTAACGTGGGGCTAGATCTCATGACCCTGAGATCATGACCTGGGCTGAAATCAAGAGTCTGACGCTTAACCAACTGACCCATTCAGGCACCCCAAGAGCAATTAGTTTTTAAACAAAGATTCCTACACAGCATGGTGAGCTACTGTAAGGATACATGGGAGCACAGCACAGGGTAACACCACTCGGAAGGGTCAGGCAGCCTGTAAGCTGGGCCTTAAACACTGCAAAAACATTTGGCTGGCACAGGGCGGCGGGTCAGATGCCAATTTGCTGTTGGGCGACTCCAAATTCAATCTTCAACACTGCTCTGCAGTTAACGGGCAGTTCCTTTAGGTAGTTCTTCCTTTCCAGGGAGCACGACTGAGCATGCAGCTGTGAGGACACCGGTGATGACCCCAGCCACGGGCCAGAAAGGGTGGTCCCTCAGCAACCTTGCGGCTCACGGACTAGAACCAACTGCCCGAGACCCTTTCAACAGACACCGTGCGCCCCAGGCCTCAGGCTGCTCGCCCTGCCCCTACACTCCACTCCTGTGGTCCTGCTGAGGACAGGGCCCTCCCATCTGGGACCCGGCGGGCTCCATGTCTCCTGCTGCGCTGATGACTCTCCTACCTGCTCAGCACATGGGCGGCCATCAGCTGCAGTTTGCCCCCGGGGAAGGCTGCCCCCCAGACCCCGCTGGCCTGTGCAGCCGGCCCTGTGACCCGCTAATGGCTGTGGCTTTCCGGAGCCAGTCCCGTCGCTGCCCGGCAACTGCAGACTCACCAACTTGGGCAAATCACGGAGCTGCTCTGCCACTCGGAGGGCTGCAACTCCCCCTTCTTCAGCGAGTCTGAACCCCAGCCTTCCTTGGGGACTCTCCCTCAGCCCTAGGTCCCGTATGGTTTCTGCAGTGACTTTGTCATCACAGCTTAACTCTTCTTTGTAAGAAACTTTCCCTGTTTACATTACTGTGTGCTTTTATCTCCTGACTGGGCCCAGACTGATGCAGGTGGCAAAGAGAATTTACCAGACTAGACAGAAAGAAAAGCATGCACAAAAGCCTCAGGAAAATTACATCCATATATACATGAATGTTGTTTTGAATTTACTGATTTTGAGGTTTTTTCATTCATTAATGGGTTTTATATATAACTATATACATAAGGGAGCGCCTGGGTGGCTCAGTGGGTTAAGTCTCTGCCTTTGGCTCAGGTCATGATCTCAGGGTCCTGGGATCGAGCTCTGCATCAGGCTCTCTGCTCAGCAGGGAGCCTGCCTCCCCCTCTCTGTCTACCTACTTGTGATCTCTATCTGTCAAATAAATAAATAAAATCTTTAAAAAAAACACACCAAACAACTACATACATAAGGAATTTCAACCTGCTGTCAGTTTGTACATATTTAAACACTACCATAATAAACATAATTTAAAGCAACATGGTGTGGGGGAGGGGGCTACTTAGAGAATATTATTCCTTTAAAACAGTGGTTCTCAGTCTTGGCTGTTCATCAGAAATACCCAAGAAGTTTTAAAACCTCCTGAAGGGGCGCCTGGGTGGCTCAGTGGGTTAAGCCGCTGCCTTCAGCTCAGGTCATGATCCCAGGTCCTGGGTTCAAGCCCCACATTGGGCTCTCTGCTCAGCAGGGAGCCTGCTTCCTCCTCTCTGCCTGCCTCTCTGCCTACTTGTGATTTCTCTCTGTCAAATAAATAAATAAAATCTTAAAAAAAAATAAATAAAAATAAAACCTCCTGAAGCCAGGGCGCCACTCCATTCCATGCGATCTCTGGGAGTGGAAGCAGAGGCAGTTTTTAAAGCTTCTGGATGGCTCTGCTGTTTGGCCAAGGCTGAGAGCACTGCTTTTAAAGAAGCTCATTCAGTACGTTTATCAAGTTTGGAAAATGGTGATCATTTGTTATTTCAGAGGACACTTTCCAGGAATAGTCTCATGTTCAACAGTGCAGGGACACCAGGAAATCTGCATTTAAACAGGGTCTGAAGGCACAGGCGAGCCTGTGGGTGCCAGGCCGTGTACATGCTGTGGGGCTAAAACCATTGCGCTGCCGCCACACATCTTGGGAGAAAGCACATAAATAAAAACCAAGCAGTGACTGCCCTCCTCTACTGTTACACTTTCTTAATCTACGGTACAATAAAAGCCTTAAATTATCCTCAGAGAGTAAACTTAACAAAATAGAAAAGTACAGGTGCATCTTTAAAAGCTGCAAAAACTAATGATGGATGTACTATGCATTGGCTAATTGAATTTAAATTAAAAAAAAAAAAAGAAAAAAATTATCCCCCCAAAATAAAGGTATTCAACTGAAGATGAAATAAAACTGACTACTTAATTCTATTGCTCTGACAATTAGAGCTGCTACTCCCCCAGCAGTACAGTCAAGAGTTTATTATACAGTAAAATAAAATGCCATAAATAAAGAGACTATATGGCCCTTAGCTCTAAGCCTTGCCTGCCTGAGCTCATGTTTACAGGACAAAGCACAATTCAGATGTATACTCTTTAATACAATTTTATCTACTTTCCCCCAATTGACATAACTCCTTTTACCTCCAGTACAGTTTCTGCCATTTCTCACCAATAATTTCTTAAAAATTAACATCGAATCACATTTCTACTTTAAAAAGAAAGTATCCTTTCTTTCCAAGGGACACCTTATTCCCTGAAATGATCTAGTAATACTTAATAAGATTCTATCTATCTTGCAGGGCCAGTGAGAAGATTAGAAACAGATTTGGAGGGACACCTGGCTGGCTCAGCTGGAAGAGCATGCAACTCTTGATCTTGGGGTGGTGGCTTTGAGCCCCACACCAGAAATGATTACTAACACACACACACACACACACACACACACACACACACACACACACACACCACTTAGATTTGGGGAGCTTCTTGACCCATTGGAGGAGAAAAAAAACTAGTATGTATCAACCCAACAGCTGACACTTGAACATGCTGGAGGTTAGGGATACTGACTCCCCAAGCTGTCAGAAATCTACCTACAACTTTTAACTCCCCCCAAACTATTAACAGTCTGCTTTGCTGATCACATCAAGAGACAACACATTTGTATGTTATATATATTATATACTGTATTACTGTAGTAAAATAAGCTAGAGAAAACAAAATGTTAAGAAAATCATAAGGAAGACGAAGATCTATTTATGGCACTGTCTTGTGTTTATGGACAAGAGCCCATGTGTAAGTGGGGCCCTAAAGTTGAGATGCCTGTTTTTCAAGGGCCAACTGTAGAGGGGTTGGTCGGTACCTTTTTTCCATGGAGTC